GCACGCAAAATTTGAACTGTAATTAGTGTTGTTTGCACGAGAACAATAAACAAAAAAATAAGAACAAGGCTTTTATGATCTACACTCACTGCTTCTTTCATGTGTAGCACTGTTCCAACATTGACAATAAACCATAGGACTCACATCATCATTAAAGATGTGTTCCCAGAATTTCACGTACATTTTGTATACATAATTCAAAGAAAAACAAGCGAATGGTATAAATTAGCCCAAAGAACTGTAAAGGCAAACTAACTTAACCCTTCCCCCTCAGTCCGCCAGTGAACCGTCATTAGAGGAGAAAGTAAAAAGATAATAGGCGAAGACTTAACGGTAAGTTACTATGACGTTCAAGCTGTTTGCGTAGTGTTTTGGTTATACACAAGTCGGCAAGACTGGTCTCCGATAGCTTTAACATACATGGCTACAAAACAGGTTTTCATTTATGAACTGAAACTGAAAAACATCTTATTAAAGTAGCACCCTACGACTGGCACTTGAATGGTCAAGCTCAAGGATTCCGGGTTAGAGCGTCTTGAGTCAGGCCACCCTGAACAGCATAATGAACAATACCTCATGAGAGTACTGCTCAGTGGAGTTAATTTGAATTGTTACATACTATTTCGCCTGCAGGAAGGCCTTTGTCGATCTTAGGGACCTTAAGCAACCCGCGACAGCGACGTCAGCGAAGACGTGGCAAAACAATAGCTCTGCACACGTGTGCGTTTAAAACTGTGCACATTTCGTAGCCGGCCGCTGCAAAATTACAGTGAAATCAACAAAATTTGCGTGGTCCGAGAAAGGAAACCCCGACGGCAAATTATTAAAGTTTCCATTTAGAACTCAACGCCGCTCTCATACGTTATGCTGAGGTTAACTTGTGGTGCCGTAAGAGATGGTCAAGACATCCACTCTTTCGCGAAATTCCAACAAAAAACTATGTATTCATTTTTAAGGGCCTGTTTACATGGAGGTTGGGGACCCCAGGTAGGTGAGGTAACCAGCCTAGCCGTGGTCGAAAAATAAAACGCGTTTACATGCAATCTTACAACCCCGGGGTGCTGGGGTGTTGTTTTGCTTGCAATTAAGGAGTTTGAGCAGAGGCGTCCCAAGCTCACATCTCGAAAAAGAAGAAAGATTAATTCACGGACACATATGTATTTATTCATGAAAGCGTCACGCGTTTGTTACGTGGTGTTTGGTTTCGCGAGAAACCGTTGACTTAATACGTTCTACGGAATAGTTTGGGAAACCAAATATGGTCGATTTATAACGCTAAATATGCCGAAATGTGAACATTTTACACTCCTTGTGTGTCCGTTGCGGTTTCTGGTGATTTTTGCCATGAGACGGCCAGGAAATGTACAAAGTTTTAAAACACAGGTTTCGCTTTTGAGCTTTTTGCCATGAATGCGACCCCGGCTAGGCGGATTACCCCACCTTGCAACGTTTACATGGCAAATTGTCACTACGGCTGACAGGGTTACCCTGCCTGGCAGACCGGGCAACCCACCTAGGCGGATCACCCTACCTATCATGTAAACGTGATCAAAATAAAATAAGAAATTATATGGACAGGCGGGTTACCCCACCTAGACGAGTTACCTCACCTACCTGGGGTTCCCCACCACCATGTAAACAGGCCCTAAATCGACGTCTTCCTTGGTGTTGCAGTTCTAACTGCTGAAGTCCTCACACATTCCCACGGGTGTAAAAATGCCCGTGCCGAAGTGTCAATAGGGAGTTTAAGAAAACCACCATCGCAACGGCAACGGGAATGTTGTGAAATGTTGCTGCTAAAAGACCTTCAACAAAACTGCTGGCTATGCGATTCAAGAATTAAACAGCATTGTAAACAGCGTAACCTTTTCAATTTTTTTATTTTCAGCCGGTTGACTAAGGATCAGCGTTGCGTTCTCTCAGACTCGTACATGGCTTCAACTGCTAGAAAGGCAATCGAGCAAAGATTGCTTGGATTAATTCCTCAGCTACAACTCTAAACACTTGCCCATGTATACGAAGAACAAGCCTTAATTCAGACATTCAAAAGTTTCCTATAAAATACAGCGATTATGTCGTCGAGACATGGAGGGAGCTCTTCCAATTTTCAACTGCAACTGTAATGAGAGGAATGAGGAGAGCAAATATTAGCACCTGACCATTGTGGACTGGGCATCAATCGAAAGGAAAACTGAGATTTTACTATAGATGACGCTAGGATGACACCATTCTAACGTGGAAAAAATAGACATGATAGCAACTTCTGAGGGGTGGGAGAGGGGTAAGGAGGTACATGAGGTGAAAGAAGCCTGACGTTGCGCGAGGATTGAGACGGATAAAAATTAAAACAGACAAAGAGATAGTTGCGTCTAATGAAGCGCGAAGAAGAATAAAGTTGAGGACGATGGAAGAAGTGCACGTAAAGATGGGATAAAGGAAAAGTACGATAGAAAAGGGAAGGAAGGAGAAAAAAGCGATGCGCAAATGTGAAAAGATGTCAAAAAGGAGCACACATGTAACAGTATAAAAACGTCCGTCGGCGTTCAAAATCGTTTGAAAAATATGGAGAACGATAGACAGTTGAAGAGACACAATCTAAGAAATGAAGCGCTTCTGTTAAGTGGGTGGGGACTTGAATCAAGGAATGTAACTTCACTGTCAGCTGCACAGATGATCAACTTGGCGCGTGCGGGTCAAAACAAGTATTGAAGTCCCCATAGGATCTGTTCTCTCTACTTCTTACGTGAATCCTTAGAATATGGAGACAGACGATAAAAATCAACGCAGTTTTTGTATTTTATACACTGTTTATTTCTCTTACACAAAGAAGTAAACAAGTAAGTACAATAAAAACTGCATTAAATTGTTCAAGGCTTTAAGTAAAATACGCGCTAAACAGAGACACTAAAATGAACCCATTTACTTCCAAGACTGATTATAGTTTAAATTCTCCTCACAAAATAAATACACCTACAAAAATGATGTCAAGAATTAGAGAAAGTCAAAACTCGAGGATAAGTTTATGCTACAAACGTAATGTTACATTGAATTCTAAGAATGAAGCAACAAAGAAACACATTCTTGTCAGTTGGGAAAATTTGTCTTCAGAACTTGGGAGTTCATGAGTTAATTAAACTAAGGTAAATGAACAATTATCTTCAACTGTAAATAAAGATAGCATCAAAATAATTCGCATGAAATTATTTGACATTATAAATTAGTTAAAAGCGTTCCAGCTTGTTTCTAAAATCCTATGTTATATCATACTCAGCCATGTGTGAGGTTAACTATTGCATTTTCTACCGGCATATACCAATGGTAGTTACGAAAACTGCAAAATTAAGATTGATTTTACAAAAATTTCTTCTAACACAGCTGTGATACAGTATATCTTAAACTTTTGACCAAATAACGGGTTCTAACCACAAAGAGTTCTCTGAATACCTAAGCATAAATTCTTAAATCTAAGAAAGATATTATCAGACATCTTCAAATTATAATAAGGTAAATATAAAGTAATGAAAAAAATTTCAACGAGGAATTTTCAAAAATTGAAAGTTTCCGTGAACCCTGAAACTTTTCAACTACGGACTAGTTTGCATTTATTTATGAACCATTTCACCAAAGTAATTCCTTTTGAGGACTACATGGCTTTTTTCAATTGCTTCTCTAATTTATGGGCGTAAATATTTTCCTACTAAAAACAAAAAAAAACAACCTTGTCACACACATTTAAAGTTACAGCTATGGCAACTTCAGTTACAGTGAACTCTGCTTCGCTGTTTCCTTGTTTAGATTACATGGACAATTATTTACCTCTCTGTCGTGGTTCTTTAAAACGAATAGATAAGTGTTTCATAAAACGGACCAAAATTGACCAAAATCATTTGATTAAAAACAGGGTTGTAGCCAGCTTTAAGACTTGTTCAAGGCTTGTTCCCTTAGAAATTTTAAGTTTTGTTTCAACATCGAAAAGAATCATATTACAAAAGTAAAGCGGGCAGAAAATAATTGTAGGCCGGGCCTACGGGACAAGAGGCTGGCTAAACCCCTAAAAATAGGTCTAATGTCTCTAATATATGGTCAGTAAATCAAATAACGTCATCTCTGATGTTTACTTAGAATGGCAATCTTGGCACTGGTGCAATTAGGTTGCATTAAAATTGATTGAAAAAAATTGTGAATAATTATCAATTTGAGGAAAGATAATCTCAATTTGCAACAAAGTAATTTATGATCTAGGAAAACCATCCAAGTTCGCAGAGGTCATGGGTTCAAATCCCGTATGGGCCTGAAATTTTTTTTTTCAGGTCCTATTTACAACTACTCGTTTCAGTAGTGTTCTTAGCTGCGAGGATCTCCTAATTTCATCTTTCCACCGCAGTGCAAATATGTGAATTTTCATATATCTAAAATCTTCATCCAAGTTTAATTAACATATATATGGCTGCAAATTTTGCAAGTCAAATTTCTAAAATTAAAATCCCGCCAACTTTTGTAAACGACGAACTGTTTCTTAGCTTATCAAAAGCTTAGAGTATAAATGAAATTAAAACCTGATGGAAAAGCTCTTGCTCATGTACAAGAAAAAACTTTCAAATTGTTTTCCATACAACTGATTGTAATACAGGAATAGAGCAGAGTGTCATTTTGGCGAAAACGAAAACCTTGTAATCGCCATTAACTACTGCAGGCATTCAAAACTGAAGCCTGGTTACATTTCGTTCTCTGGAAGCATTTAAATTTTTAAAGGTAAGAAAAAAAGACAATTTCGCAGATCAGAATAAAATTAAATACTGTTTTTTATTTCTTCAGCAAAGTAAAGTTGTACATCTCAAGTTCCATTTAACAAAAAAATAAAAAGTAATAAACAATTGCCAAAAATTGTCAAAAAAGGGAAACATTTAGACCTTCCAAGTTCCTGCGCCAATTTTTTCATTCTTTTTGAGACGAAAAAAATTTTTTCATGCAGGAGATTTTATATTAAAATTTTCTTTTACCTACGCGATGAAGTCGAGAGTGACGTCATCTCCAATCAGCAAAAAGGGCGCCCAGTATTTGACGTCGCGGAACTCGTCTGATTCTCTGAGGCTTTTCATGGCCAGGTTCAGTGACTCGCTTGCAGGTTTACCTTCTGCAAGGTGTTGATAAAAGCATTTCATAAACTCGAGAGTAGCCTCGTCGTCAATCGCCCACAGGGACGCCACAACAGACCGAGCACCAGCCCCCATAAAAGCGCGCGCAATGCCAACCACACCTTCAGCCTTGATCTCGCCCTGACCACTGTGGCAGCAACTGAGCACAACAAGTTTGGCGCGAAGTTGAACATTCAACACATCTCGAATCGTTAAAATGTAATCCTCCGTCTCCGTAGGCACAGTAGATATTTGGTCTGGGTTAGGTGTAAGAGCAATTTCGCCAGTTTCCAGACATCCGTGTGCCGCAAAGTGAACTAAGGAAACGGATCCGAGTCTTTGCAAGACCTCACGTTTCGTGGCCTGTCTGCCAGTGATTGGCGTGATATTCAGAATTTTCCCGATCATTTCTACTTCTTCTTTAGCACAAGGAAGCGGCCCGAGGAATTTCTCTCCCTTTCTGTTTGTAACCTCGGCTACCCACGGATCTCCTACAAGTAACGCACCACTGCTTTCGTGATAATCATCTGGGTAATCGGCAATGAGTCTAAGACTTGTTAATGATGGAGCGAGTCGAATTCTGAACGATTCACACAGGTACTTAGAATTACCATCCTTGAATGCAGCGTAAGGAGCGAGCCACAGGGGTCCATCAGGAATAATGAGTAGCTCATCCCCTTGTATCAGGTCAGCCACCGGCTTCATGACGGTATCATACAAAGTGCTCAAGCATTCGTTTTGTTGGATGGGAAGTTGAGGGTTGTCTTCTTCAGTTTTCTCATATTCTTTTGGACGGCTCTCCCTCAAAGCATCCAAAGATCGATTCTCGCATTTCACATTAGAACGAACACCCAGTTGCGTGTAGACACCGAACATGAACGACTCAAAGGACTGACTGGCTTCCCTATTCTCTGAAAAAGAACCTTTAAGTTTACTTTGTCTTAAATGAATTTGCTTTCCTTCGGAAACAACCCAAAGATTGACGTTATCTCTGCCGACTGCCTGAAAGATAGTGTTTGATGGAACGTTTTCTAAAACCGCTAAATCTTCATCGCCTCTCTCGTGCTGACTTGTTCCACCACAAAAACTGGATTCCATGAGGTCGTTCAGAGCTTGAGCTCGTCCTTTCTCAGCAGCAAGTAGAGCTTCATCTATATTACCTTGTTCTACGAGAACTCTCCACAAACCCGTATACGCCATTTGATTCTGATTTCGAAAATTAATTTTCCATTCGTCTTTAGATTCTAGAAGTACTCTCAAGGAGTTGTACAAGGTTATGCTAGCTTGGTAATATTCAACGGCTTTTGGCAGTCGACCAAGCAACTCAAAAACGCATCCTGATGAATAGTAGGCCGTTGCCTCCAAGGATTTGGCTTCGACCTCTTTGGCAATTTTGAGCATTAGCTCGTATGAATTTTTGGCCTTGATCAGATCTCCCAGAGTTTGATACACATTGCCAAGATTACCATAAGCAATACCCTCCCCATGCTTGTCTCCTACTTCTTTGGCTATTTCAAGATGTAGGTTGTGGTACTCTATGGCTTTTTCGAAATCACCCAGCCTGTATAAAGCACTGCCAAGGTTGCCATAAGCACTACCCTCCCCATGCTTGTCTCCAACTTCTTTAGCTATTTCAAGATGTAGGTTGTGGTACTCTTTGGCTTTTTTGAAATCACCCAGACTGTCAAAAGCATTGCCAAGATTGCCATAAGCGTTACCCTCCCCATGCCTGTCTCCTACTTCTTTGGCTATTTTAAGATGTAGGTTGTGGTACTCTTTGGCTTTTTCGAAATCACCCAGATTGTTATAAGCACTGCCAAGATTGCTATAAGCACTACCCTCCCCATGCTTGTTTCCTACTTTTTTTACTATTTCAAGATGTAGATTGTGGTAGTCTATGGCTTTTTTTAAATCACCAAGACTGTCATAAGCATTGCCTAGACTGCCATAAGCGTTACCCTCTCCATGCTTGTCTTCTATTTCCTTAGCTATTTTAAGATGTACTTTGTGGTACTCTATGGCTTTTTTGAAATCCCCCAGACTCCGATACGCATTGCCAAGATTGCCAAAAGCGTTACCCTCCCCATGCTTGTCTCCTACTTCTATAGCCTTTTTAAGATGTAGGTTAAGGTACTCTATGGCCTTTTCGAAATCACCCAGACTGTAATAAGCATTGCCAAGATTGCCATAAGCGTTACCCTCCCCATGCTTGTCTCCTACCTCTTTAGCTATTTTGAGATGTACGTTGTTGTACTCTATAGCTTTTTTGAAATCACCCAGACTCCGATACGCATTCCCAAGATTGCTATAAGCACTACCCTCCCCATGCTTATCTCCCACTTCTTTGGCTATTTTAAGATCTAGGTTGTGGTACTCTATGGCTTTTTTGAAATCACCTAGACCGTCATGAGCATTGCCAAGATTGCCATAAGCCTTGCCCTCCCCAGGCTTGTCTCCTACCTCTTTGGCTATTTTAAGATGAAGGTTGTGGTACTTTATGGCTTTTTTCAAATCGTCCAAATGGTTATAAACATTGCCAAGATTGCTATAAGCACTAACCTCCCCACGTTTGTCTCCTACTTTTTGTGCTGTTTTAAGAAGTAGGTTGTAGTACTCTATTGCTTTTTTGCAATCACCCAGACTCCAATACAGATTGCCAAGATCGCTATAAGCGTTACCCTCTCCATGCTTGTCTCCTACTTCTTTACTAATTTTAAGATGCAGGTTGCAGTACTCTATGGCTTTTTTTAAATCACTAAGACTGCAATAAGCATTGCCTAGATTGCCATAATTGTTACTCTCCCCATACTTGTCTCCCTGATTGCAGAAGTCTATGACTTTCTTGCAATAACCTGGACTTGTACTACCATGGCCATGACTAAGATGATCTTTTTCCTCCACGGACTCATCTTCCACTTCTCTGAGAGACTGAAGTCTTAATGACAACAAGATCCTATTATTTTTGTCGATCTTTTTTTTACGTTAAGGTTTAAATATGCGGGAAGAAACATTTTCTGAACACATTGGTATATAATAGTCCCTTTTCATAGTTGCGTGCAAGGTCCTCAAGCCTTTGAACAGGAGTGTGGCTAAGGGTGACCTTGTTATGATACAACATCGCTGCTTTCCAAATGCAAATTACTTTGTTATTATGCTCACTAGATACTGGTCTCTATTACAGCAACGTCACCTTCAGCCTTCAGCTGAAAGGTAGATGTTTAATCAACATTCAGTCTTTAAGTCAGTTATGAAGTAAATCTACACATCACAAAAATTTTCTCCTGTGTGAAACCTCAAATTTTAACGCCAAATATCTAGATATAATCCCTTGTTTCCAAAAACCGGGAAGCACTTGCTCGATTTTAAATTAATATAGCTTTCACATCAGACTAATGTTTTACAGCAGTGGAAGAGATGAGTCTAGAACACAGTTTTTATGTTTTGTCCACAAAAAACAAGACGAAAGTTTCCGCGTCTCTGAGTAGTGGAAAAAATTTAAAGGCGAGAAAATCAACATAATATATATAAACATTACCAAACTTCTTTTTCTTACTCGTCTTAGAGAGATCATCTATCTATGTACCATTTATACACTGGGTGAATATTAGTCTTTTTACCACACTGATGTACCAGTTGTGGCATGATTAATATGACGAAGTCATGGCTAAAAGGAGTATATCACTATTAAGTCACGGGGTAATAACTTTTCCCACAGCTTTTAATCACACACACTCAAAGTATGAGATGACAAGTTCCCATCGTAATTAATACCCTTCTTCACATTTTCTCCATGAAATAGTCAAATTATGGAATACATCCACTATACCTACGGTTAAAAATAAAAGATATCTTCAAAGGATACAGCTAATCCCTTATCACACCAAGTGATTGCTTCTTTAAATCTCTTCAGTTCAACACAGGCAGTGGCTCCTGTAGGCAACAACGCAAAAAAGCTTATAATTACTGTAGCTTGATTCCAAGAAAAGAAACAGAAACCACTGAAAGCTAAATCATTACAGACCAGAAAAAAACAAAACGAAACAAAGCAAAAACAAACTAAAAGGAAAAGAATAAACAGGCCTCATTAGTTTTCAGTAAGAGTAGCTTTTGATAATTGAAACTTCTGAGAACACTTAAATTGGGACTGACAATTCCCACAAAATCATTAAGAGATACACGGATAGAATATAAGACATGCAATACCAAAACCAAAAAATGAAACCCATTTTATAAAAATTTTTTATCATCATAATGGTACATTTTTTAGTTAATCTTTTTAACACTGGGTTGAATTTCAACTTCAATCAAAATACAAAATAAAAAATTTTAATTGATATTAAAACTAGTTTCCCTTTAGTTTGAGTAAACATATTTGTTTTACTCAATCAGTTGATAATTAATTCCTAGGAAGTGACTCAAACTAAAAGATTTACTCATGCCGTCTCTAGTTACATTATTATTACATGTTTTATAGCACTTAAAGTTGAGTTGTACTTGACGAATGAGGAAAGTTTTCTTACGGTTTGAGTTAAGTTAAGTCCTTACTTCTTTTCAAAACAGCGAGATAGTGACTAAACATGTCTGACACCACTACCTCGCTCATTGAGCAGAAGGAAATTCAAATACTCATGCTAAAATTTTGCTTTGCATTCAGCATTGAGTTCTTCATCCAACTCAAAATAATGTTTTCATCATAATGTAAAGTCACAGCACAGCAGTCAAGCACTGGATTCAAATGTACATCAGGGTGGTGTAGACCTCTTTATCAAAGTAAGTTGAGACAAGATTTAACTTTACTTAATTTTAGAGTGTTGAGTTCATTTTTACTTTTATTATAGCACAGTTAATATATCTAACCTCTCACAATTGCCTTGAAGAAAGTTGGATTTAACTTAATGGCTGCCTCTGCATCCCTTAGTGAATCCTGGTGATTTCCTGTTTTTTAAAATAAATATCTCTGATTAGCTGCGCATATAGCAAACCCACCACCTTTACATCAATTTTAAGAAAAGCTTGTGATGTTCATTGATGTCTGTGGTAAGAGGTTACTTGTTGCTATTTTTGAGCGGCCAAGATATGGCGCATGTTTTCTGGAGAATTTACTTTTGGGCATGCATTCAAAATTATCACCTTTTCAGAAAACTACTGCTGACAGTACTGACAGCCCTTGGCTTCAAAAGAGAAAAAAAAGCATATTAAAGTGCCTATGACACGAAATTTGTTTTTTGCATTTTCTGGTTGATAGCCGTGTTTTAAAATTAGAAAAAAAATACCCTAGCGCCTAGAGCGTTCTCCTTATCCATCTTTTCGGGCATTGAAAGTACGCTTTGGCAGCGAAAAGGTGTCCCCATCAAGCGCGCACCCAAAACGATCATGTTACATAGCCGTGACGTAGAAAACTGTGAAAACACGGCGGCGACTTTGGTGGGGAAAGGAGGAATCGAGAAGAAAGGCCGAACGTATTGCGTGACCGGAGAGCCAAATGATGTTAGCTACAAGAATAATACAGATATACCGGATATTTCTATACACTACTTTCCAAAGGATGTAGCTCTATGTCCAAAATGGACGCGTTTCGATCGTCGACATCGAGGAGATTTTACTCTTCAATGTCGTCAGCTCTATGCTTTCTACCGGCTGCGAAGACGCCTGTTACGAACACATATCACTAGTCAAATCAGGGGAACACAACCAATGAATTCAGCTGAAAAGAATGCTGATTGAGGGGTCTGTTCCCACACCGAACACGATTGTTCAACATTCTTTTCGCATACATTTTACAAGCGAAGAATGGTCAGCTCTTCATTGCTTTTTATGTCACGCGCTTGAGATGTACTCATACTCCTTGTCTTCCTACATGAAAATCCTACCAATTGTAATTTCTATCGTATTTTTATAACAGAAATACATTATTTGTAATGAAGTTCGAGCCCTTTCCTGAGCTGATCGATATTTTTTTGCTTTAACAGTGCGAAACCTCTGGCGGATACTGGACTATACACAGGCTCGAGGGGTGGTGTATTCTCCTAACCTAGGTTTCCGAAAATCCATCCTACGAGCCATCCATTCCCCCCTGCCCTCAAGAAACTAAAAGTAGCAACAGTAGCAATGTCATTGTGATAAATGCACGGCAACGAGATAGATAGAGAAACACAAATTTTACTGAATTAGATGTCGTACTGTGTGAAAGTCGATGCGTACGAAATATTTATTTATAATACTGATGTCTGTAGTTATTCTCTTTGAGCGGAATGTGTCATAAGGCAAAGCTGTCCTTAAACTAAATAGGTTTTTCTCGATTTAAATCCCTATCTGAGATTACCTTAAATCAGATAACTAAAAACTCACTCGTTTCTGTTCGGTTTGAGCGGCTCGACAATCGCGACGATAGCTTCTGCCTTTGCAATCTCTGAGGAAAGGGGCAATTTGCAGTAAACTGCCCGATGAATTCTCGGTGAAAAATCATCGTGCCTTGTGATGCAGCTGATTCTTTCGTCAAAAGTTAGCTTTTGGTTTACAAAGAGAATTTTTCTACAGCAACGAAACCTTAAAGCACTGACCGAGGGGAACCTTCGCCGCACATAATGCAAAGGAATAAAATGCTATGGCAAAACAGAAACGAACACAGTTTCCCATTCTTGAAACAGATTTCGCTATAGAAAACAAAACACAAACGCAGCAAACTAAACATTCAGTAACAGGAATTTTTTGTTCTAATCTTGACCTGAAAACCGCAGGCGAGAAACCGTCTTAGTCAGTCCTCGTCGAATGCTCGCGGTTCTCCTTAACAGAGGGCTGAATCGTACTCGCAAATTCCATTTCTTCTCTACTGCTAGCGCTCTAGTAAGATGTATCAAAACTCTCGGTAGAGCTTGCTGAAGGTAGTAATACATTGCTAATGGACATTATATCAAGAGTATTTCAATACACAAATCAGTTAGTATCATCTTACCAAGTTTAAAATGTGCAATAGCCCTGTTGTTGTACAGTTTGGCCTTCAGTTCTTTCTCATTGCAGTTCATTTTAATTCCTTCGCTGTAAAAATGAATAGCACTGATGAAATCTCCTTTCTTGAAGGCCTCATTACCCTCATTCCTATAACCATCAGCTGCGGCTGCAAAGAAAAAATTTAAAAAATAATTTGTCAAAGTCTGTGGTTGTAGTTAATAGGTGTATAAGCAGAGCTGCAAAGATTTGGAGATTTAAAATCTGCAGATTTTTCCTTTTGTGCCAGCTGCTACTTTTGCACCTGCCTGACTTGGACCAGCCCCTGAAAACCTTCGATGACGTCTGCAGCCCCCCCCCCCACCCCCCTCACGAAATAAATCCCACTCAGTAAGTTTATGAGACATTTTATTGGTTGAAAGCTCAACCAATCAGACTCAGTTGCTGTTGTGGTTGTTGTTTTAGAAGAAAGTGTAATCCCTACTTTGAAAAAATCTAAGCACAATCAAGAAAATTAAGATAAGAACCCTAATATTGACAAAAAGCCAGATAACATTGGATGAGGGAAATCTGGAGTTCAAAAGTTATGTTTCTGTGAGGAACTGACCCAAATCCTCTTTTATCTTGAAGGTTTGATGACCCATATGGGAGACCTAGAGTCTCGTTCTGTGTCTGTGAGACTCCCTGATAATCAGGGAGAGTTGACATAATGATAAGTGTAAAAGAGTCTGGTGCTTTAACCCTTGAACTCCCATAAGTGATTAACATGAAACATCTCCACATAATATCCATTCATCATCCAGCAAACAGATTATGAGAGTACTCAAACTTATCAGGTTAAAGTTGTTATCTTGATCTAACACTAAATTCTCTTAACTAGATTACAAGGAAATGTGTAGAGGCTACAAGGAAGAATTATGGATCAGATCTTGGCAGTAAAAAGGGTTAAATACATTTAGATAAGATCCAAACGTTGTAATTATAAAAACCAGAAGCAATATTACTTATGAAATTAATAGTTATGGTGATCTTGATAATGTGGGTGACAACGGTGATGATGATGATAAGATCTCTCAATTTGAAGCGAACCCCTGCGCATTTGAACTTTTGGAGATTGCTTTCCTCAAATTCCCTTCCTCCCCCCTGGAAAAAATTATTATCAAATGCCCCACCCAAATTCTATTTAAAAAGCAAAATAAGCAACTGTGACTTTCAACACACTGAGCAAGCTTTAAAACCTAACCTAACCCTTAAAAACTCTTGAACTCTTGAGTAATTTTTCAGCAAAAGTGCACTATTTACCTTAAACACCTCCATATTTAAAGACATAACACTATTGTATTCTAATGGAAAGACTTGACACTTCTGGTTCAACTTCCTCAACACTAGTCAGGCAAGGTTCAATTCCCCCACCATATGGTCAAATGCCTGCAGGAAAGGGAGGGGGGGGGGTTGAGGCTTTCAATTGATTGTTGCATTATAATAGGAAGATGATAACAATGATGATGGTACTTATGATGCAAACTTACAAAATGGATGTCATATGTCTTCACTTATTATAACCTTGTGTACAAGTTTCCTTTGAACTTTTAGAAAATAAAATAACAAATTCACAGATCCGCTCAATGAATAGCATATTGTTATCATGGAAGAGAGCCATGACTGGCCAAATATCCTTCGAAGTGGTCATACAGTGTATATATCCTTCTCCACATCTGCTTCCATTCTCAAAACTGGTGGAATAGAAAAAAGTTCTATTAATAGCTGAAGCCAAAGTTGAACCTAGCTTACCTCGTAAAGTGTCCTCATCAAAATCTGGTGCATTTTCTTTGGCAAGTAGGTCTTCATTTTCACATGGCACTTTAATTGGACTTCTTCCTGTAGCCATAGCAACTATTAGAAGATTTTTCTTACAACGTTGCTGTAACGTTTTAAGTTATTCTGGCCTGAAAAAAAGATGGTTGCAAATGGTAATAAACACTGGCTCAATATATTACCCGGTTGCAAAAGAAATATTTTTTCCGTTCTGAGATTGAGAGGGATGCATAGACACAAAATCATAACCATTTAATATTAATGGCATACTAGAAGTAGCAAAAGAACAGAAGAAAACAAGCATCGTTATTTTTAAATGAACAGCAATTCACTTCTCGTAATAAAACTTTTCAAGATTTATAAACTACATTCGCAATTGACTGAGATAAACTGGGTAAACATCCTCATCTTTGTCTTGAATATGAAAGCGATCTTCGCAGTAATGAACCCTATCTGAGCAGCAGTGAAAACACTCTACCTACTGAGCTAACAAGCCAATTAAGAGCTGGTTATTATCTTGGTTCCAAATAAACCCGTGAAGTGGTGAATAAACGACTGTGAATATATGAAAGTCATATATTTGAAGTGCGGATAAAGACGTGAAAATGAAAGCGATCTTCGCAGTGCTGAACACTACCTGAGATTTGAGAGAGCAGTTCAAGAAAGTATTGAAAAGGTTCTAGAAACGTTTGACGGGGTCGAAAATTTAAGTGCAGAGCAAAGTGATGGCGTATGTAATTGTATTCTCCGTAAGGATCTCTTGGGAAGTCTTTTTTTACGATACCTTGCAATTGAAAACCCGTTTCTGTCATTTCTCCACATGCCAGTGCATGTGATCACACGCCAAAAAGCCTACTACATCGTCATGTTTTCGCAAAGACCCTCGCACATTTACAGCCATAGATGTACTTGTTGGATGAAGGTATGCCCATAGATAAAGTTTACAATACCTTGATCAAGGAAAAGACAACCACCGTCAGCGAGACAATACCAGGCCCAAAGATGATTGAGAATAGAAAATACAAGAATCACATCAACCGAGACCACAATGAAGCGTTACGCAGCGGAAACACTGATAGCAAGTTTGTATACCCTGCCTCTCAACAGCAGTGTTACCTTCACAAAAGAAAAATACATCTCAGTCAACTCGTCTCCCAACATGCTGAATGACATACATCGATTCTGCGTTCTTGAAAACAGTATTCTGAAAATCGATACCACTTTTGAGTTTGTCGATAGCCTATAGTTAACAGATACTACATACACGAATGAGTCCTCGATCAACCAGAGCAACAAGCATCACGAGTTCCCAGGTCCAAGCTTCTGGCATTTCAAGAAGAGTCGAGAGGGTAATAGAAGATTCGCTGGTGAACTCGCCATTGCCAAACCAAAATTGTTAGGAATAAAGAAGATCGGCCATGATCTTGACAAAGCTATTTCTGGTGGGGGCTGTTCGTGATTTGGGAAAGTATAGGCTTGCTCCTGGGTACGACCAGTTTCAAGTCGATCCAGTGAAGTGGAACAGGTGGGGCCCAGAAAGGCACGCTCAACACCTATCTGCATTGCGTAACTTCACACAGAAATTATATGACATGTATAAGAAACCCAGGGCTGCTGGTCCGAAGTCATTTTCACAGAGTAAAAAGAGAGCCCACTCGCCAGAACCCGAAATGGTGCGAACTGCAAGACCAACATAAAACTTGGTGGGGGTCACGGGGTCACCCAGGTGAATAATCACAGTCCTGGGATCTACTACCCATAAAATAAGCATTGTTATTAAATCTGCCCTGGGATTTCTACAAGGGTAATTTAGTTTCTCCTACAGAAAAACAGATAAATACGCAGACTGAGGTTTAGGTTTGTTATTTATCACGTTTAATATAACTTCATAGATAGAGGAAAAAACAACTGCAGCTACTGGTGCAATGAAGTTCCTTAACCCTGACAGGACGAGTACGAGCTTGTAAGCAGAGATGATGTAGAGCTATGCCCAAAAAATGTCAAACGCTGTGAGCAATGTAGGGTGGCTTTTCATCAAGCAGTCAAGGATGCCGTCAAAAGTGTTGGAGTGCGGGAACACACTGATAAGTCAGGAAAGATAGTCAAATATACCGGTAATCTTTACCTGCATTTTCTAACCAAATGCCTCTCTTAATATGACCAGAAATTCACCTTTTCTGCCATAACGGTTCCCGCACGCACCCTTAAATTTCTACCTGAAAGAGGAAGGGCAGTGTTAGCGGCCAAGGAATTGCATGTGGAGGAGGAACTCGCGTGTGCACTTTCAGTAAGAAGTTATTTATAAATCATTTCGTTAAGCTGTTTCAGTTAAACATTTTATAAAAGAAAATACAATGTCATTACCCATAATATTGGGACAAGTTACGTGGCATTATCAATTTTATCATCTACATATTTGGGGGTTCGCAAGAGAAAAAGAGAGTTTTGGAATGGTATTTGTTTAAGAAAGACATTGAATTACCATAAAGATGTGTTAGTAAGTTTTGTGCAATTTGTGTAACCACACAATGTCGTAATCTTGACATGAAATGAAATAAATGTGGAAAACATCAAGTTTTCCCTCTAGAGCTGTTGCTATTTTCCAAAAGTTGTGAGCAATTGAGTACATATGTAATGGAACTTATAATAAAGCAACGGTTCTATGCCAATCATGCTCGGGTTATTTAGGTTGAGGAAGATATTTAATTACTTGTTAACGGTTTTCATATTTTTTATTATGATCTATGAATTAAAGAATGTGTTGCTACGCTATTCACGTAAAGTTTTATTTCTTTGTTGCATTTGCTGTCTTTTGATGAAATCATATCAACGCATTTAAGGGTTATCAGTGCAATTATTGAACTAAAAGGCCCTAACCATACATATAACATTTCATTTCCGAGAGTGTATGTTCGCGAAGAGTAGACACAGCTGTTTACTTTGTGGACCTCTGAATAGGTAAACAGCACCCTTCACCCGATCCCATGGCAACTGCCTCATTTCGGTAGAATGTTTTAAATAATATAGACTTATCCAAGCCTAAAAGCGAAGCTCGACATTTTCTGCTTTTTTATAGTTATTCTGAAAATACCTGAGCGGTCTGCGGTCATCATCCAAAAATTACTTGAATTCGATCAGTTCTGTGCGATGATGTAAGTTGACGTTAGTCTGAACCTTTATACTCCAAGATTAATTGGCCTTGATTTAAACTTAAAGGCTCAGGTTATCGTCAGCTTACATCATTTATGGTCAATTGACAGCTGCCAAAACAAGGTACCCGCTAATCAGTATCACCTGTACAACTCATCGAGGTCACGTAATATTTGGAGGGCGGACGCTGACCATTGTTAATGCTGTAAATGTTTCAAATGGATCGCAGGCTCAAGTATTTTCA